GGCGGGGCGCTGGAAGGGGGCGACGGCCGTGCGGATGCAGTTCACCCACTGCTGCTTGTGGAAGATGTCGTTGGCCTGCAGCGTGTGGGACTGGCCAGGGCTGGGGTCTTGGAAACGGACTCGGAAGATGTTTTTAGCTGGAGGGAAACAGAGGAGAAAGCAGATGGGTTCCTAGCTCGGTGTTTAGAGAGGTGGCGTTGCTGGGTGAGGGACCCGGGCTGCCCGGCTCTGCCTGAAGGGTTCCAAACACCGTCACAAAAATGCCCCAAACCTCCCAGCCCAGCAGGGACATGCTGAGAAAGGTGTTGCCTCATCTGCAAAGTGCCCTCTGTAAGTTCATGGGCTCCACACATAAAACTACAAAGCCCAGCAGTGGCAGTTGCTGCTGGCAGGTGGAGATGAACCTGTCTCACAGAACTGTGGAATTGCTGTGGTTGGAAGAGACCTCCAAGAACATCAGGTTCAACCATTAACTCAGGACTGCCACTGCCCCGTGTCCCTCACCCCACATCTCCACAGCTTGGAAACCCCTCCAGGGGTGGGGACTCCACCACTGCCCTGGGCAGCCTGGCACAGGCCTCCACAGCCCTCCAGGGCAAGAAATTGTTCCTCAGGGGCAACTGAAACCTCCCCTGGGGCAACTTGAGGCCCTTTCCTCTTGTCCTGTCCCTTGTCCCTTGGGAGCAGAGCCCGACCCCCCCCTGGCTCCAGGCTCCTGTCAGGAGCTGTGCAGAGCCAGAAGGTCTCCCCTGAGCCTCCTTTGCTCCAGGCTCAGCACCCCCAGCTCCCTCAGCTGCTCCTCCCCACACTTGGGCTCTAGACCCTTCCCCAGCAGCTCCGTTGCCCTTCTCTGGCCACGCTCCAGCCCCTCAAGGGCCTTCTGGGAGGGAGGGGCCCAAAACTGCCCCCAGGATTGGAGGGGCAGCCTCCCCAGTGCCCAGCCCAGGGGGACGATCCCTGCCCTGCTCCTGCTGGCCACACTGTTTCTGATCCAAGCTCTCCCAAAGGAACCTCAGTCTATGTGCTCTATGCCCAAGTGTAACTGTAGAATCATAGAATGGTTTGAGATGGAAGGGACCTTAAAGATCACCTAGTTCCAAACCCCTGTGCCATGGGCAGAGACACATTCCACTAGATCAGGCTGCCCAGAGCCCCATCCAACCCGGGCAATCTCTCCCCACCAAGGGATTCCCATGCAGATGACTGGTTTGGTCCCTACCTTTATCAGAGTTGCCAAAAGCTCCTCGGAAGGAGCCTCCCATTTTCACATCTCCATCCTGCAGGTCTTCCAGGAGCAGCTCCTGGACAGGGATTGGCTGCCTGTACACTTGGTAGGCCTGTCGCTCGTTGCGGGTGACTGGCCTGGTCAAAACCAGGATGTCTTGGAAGAGGAAGACGTAGAGTTTCTGAAAGGGAAAGCACAGGTGAACATGAGCAAAGTGTTGTTCTCCATACCCAAGGTGGTGGCACATCCTCTGGGATTTGAGGCCACAGTATCCCAAGTTTTTCCCACGTTAGCTTCCTGATACAGTAACGTAGGGGGCTGGCAGTGGTGGCACAGACCACGCTCCCATCAGCAGGGTTAGTGTTTAAAAGACCTTTAAAAAGCATGTTATGATTTACAGATGCCAAAAACACGATGAGGAGAAGCAATATCCCTGACATTACAAAATGCTCCCCGTGTACAGGAGTGTAATGGCTGAATTAATAAAAAAAAAATCCAAAATAATGAATAGAAAAAGATTTGATGGTTAAAACAAGGTGACTCCTGCAAGGCCCAACAAAAGGCAGCCAGCCCTGGGGTGCTGCAGCGGGTGATGAACTCCTGGCAGGTCACCTCAAAGAGGCTTTTGCAGGAACTTTTGTTTGGAGGAGCCACGCCAGCTCCAAATGGAGAATGTCAGAGCACCTGGAAGCACACAGCCAGCAGGAAATCCCTTCTGAGGGACTGCTGGAGCCCAGAGAGCACTTTCGATGGTGATTTCAGGCTGATTATTTTCCAGCTTCTGAAGGTTGATTGTGAAGCTGTCAGCAGGAGGCTTCCCCCCACGCCCTGAAACTCAGGCTGCCATCAAGTGCTTTCTCTTCTGCTTTTTGTATTTAGCTAACTGTCTAAACTAATCCCAAAGATGGAAGGGCTCCTGGTCCTACTAAAACAAACAGTTTGAGGAACCTCTGAGGGCAGGTTTTTGAACTTGAACAGGAATAACCCCGAGCCTGAGGGACTCACATGTCCATTTTTGTTCTTCAGCTCCCCGTGGCACAGCAGAGCTTTGCTGCCTTCGATCCGGGGGTCCTTCTGCTTCTCATCCAGGTACTCCAGCTTGTCAATGTAGTACTGGCACTCCGACTCCCCCTTCTTCAGGTTGATGTCCGAGAGGACTCCTTGGATTATAGATATCTAGAAACCAAAATGTTTACAAGACTTTAAATAGGGGCCTGTGCTTGTTGTATCTTCCCTTTCAACACTCTTCATCTCTCGCTTGCTTCCGCCGAGCGCTACAGCCACAGCTTTGTGTCCACCAAGAAAACCACCCCGTGAAACAGCTGAAGAAACCTTTCTGGAGCTCCAGAGGAACACACCCGAGGTCAGAACAACCACAAAATCATCATTACTTACGGCTTCTTCCAGAATCTGGACGTCAGGATGGTCCTTGGGTGTGTGCCTCAGGATCTCTCTCAGGAGCAGCGGGTATTTGACCAGCCTGCTTCGAGGGATGTCCAAGAAGCTCCAGAGGTCCAGCTTGCGGCTGAAGGGAGACTCCAGGCAGCGCTGGAGGAAGTCCTGCACTCTCCTGTCCTGCTTCTTCTGATCCAGAAGGGCTTTGGCAGCCAGCTGATTGCTGCAGTAACCTTTGTAGGCGTGGAGCCGGGGCAGCTGCGGGAGAACACAACCGTATTCAGGAGTCAGATTGCACAGGCAGGAAAAGCAAATCCCATTCACGTGTCCAACTGGGGGAGTTCTGCTTCCCTGACTGGGATACTTGGCCCAATTAGAAGGTTAACAGACTACCCTGTCTAAGGAGCTGGTCTCCTGGGAGGAGGACGAGGGCATCCTGCCTGCAGTGATGCCTTTGAAGCTCAGATGTTTGTGATGAACGGCGATAACGTTGTTGAAATCACATTAGGTCCAGAAGATACAGACATTTCAACCATAAATCAGCAAATAATTGCAGTCACACTGGTGGAAGTCTCCTGGGTGAAACCCTGGCTGACAGGACCCCATTGTTTCCAGCACAGCCAGGATTTCCTTTCCAATCTCTCTCGCTCAGGGCTGGAAAAGCCCCACAGCTTTTTGGCTTCTGCCTTTAAACGCTCTTTAAGCTCATTTTTTGGTGTGCTGTCTGCAGGTCCTGTACTCACCCACTTCACAAGAATAGGCCCAATCTGCTCCACTGTTCCATCTGGTTTCGTCGCTTCTCCTAAACTTGCCAACAAATCTGGAATTGAAACACAAAAAGCAGAAGTTGCCACCATGTCCCAGAAGCTGTTCTTGGAGAAAGCATCGAGTTGGTCAGCACAGGATGGGAAAAGGATCTGGTTGCTCCCACCTTCATGCAGAGGAATGTAAGAATCCAGGTCCCCGAATATGTGGGTGAGTTCCTCCTCTGACATGATAGAGAGTTTCAGCATGGGATCGTGGTAGGCCTGCCAAAGAACATCAGTATTAAAATCTATTCAACCCCCCCAAGCCCAAAAGCTGACAATTTACAGTGGAGGGGATGTGCCATGTGCAGGACAGGTATGAAGTGACACCACCAGGAACACTAACATCAATTTTTGGTCATTATCATCTGTGGTAGGATCACTGCCAAAACCCAGACCCACTCACCTTTCTGGCAAGCTTCAGGTCCTCGATTAGATCCTGTTCTCCCCTGGACATTTCGTAGATTGCCTGTGAGGAAAGGGATAAAAAGCACTGAGAAGTGTTTTTATTCCCAGCTTTCCTCTGCAAGAGCCTTTCAGCTCCCCTGCTGGGCATCCTGTCTCCACTTCTGCCACCGGATCGCCGTGTGCCAGGCAGCAACATCTCCCAGGGAGCACCGTGGCTGCCGAGCGTGTGAAAGCCCCGACGCTCACACACAAGCCAAATTAAATATGAGGCCCTTTTAAATCACTGCTTCTACACAGGCAGGGACGACTAAAACAAAGCCCAGAAAACCACAGAGGTCAAATCCCAGGCGTCTTTAGTCAGCTTCTGTGCTGTCGCTCCAAGATTTGTCTGAGGACTAGAGGAAAAGGGCAAGCCAAGGCCTTGCTGTTTGGCTTCCCACCAGCTGTCAGGAGCTGGGGCAGAAAGACAGCTGGGCTGCTGAGGAGCCCCCGGGCCTGGGAGCTGAGCAATGCTGAGCACCCCCACGCACAGAGCTTGGCACCTCTGCAGGGAAACTCCCTGGTGACTTGGGAGAGAGGAGCCCACCTTTTCCCATGCCCAGCGCAGGAATAAATCTCGCTGTCTGGACATGAAGGTGCACAGGAAGAGAAAGGAGCTGCTGTGGCCAGCAGGAGCAGGGCAGGGATCGTCCCCCTGGGCTGGGCACTGGGGAGGCTGCCCCTCCAATCCTGGGGGCAGTTTTGGGCCCCTCCCTCCCAGAAGGCCCTTGAGGGGCTGGAGCGTGGCCAGAGAAGGGCAACGGAGCTGCTGGGGAAGGGTCTAGAGCCCAAGTGTGGGGAGGAGCAGCTGAGGGAGCTGGGGGTGCTGCGCCTGGAGCAAAGGAGGCTCAGGGGAGACCTTCTGGCTCTGCACCGCTCCTGACAGGAGCCTGGAGCCAGGGGGGGGTCGGGCTCTGCTCCCAGGGGACAAGGGACAGGACCAGAGGAAAGGGCCTCAAGTTGCCCCAGGGGAGGTTTCAGTTGCCCCTGAGGAACAATTTCTTGCCCTGGAGGGCTGTGGAGGCCTGTGCCAGGCTGCCCAGGGCAGTGGTGGAGTCCCCACCCCTGGAGGGGGTTCCAAGCCGTGGAGATGTGGGGCGAGGGACACGGGGCAGTGGGGACCTGGCAGGGATGGGGGATGGTTGGACTTGATCTTAAAGGTCTCTTGCAGCCAAACTGATTCTATGATTCTAAGTCACCCACTGATGCTCGCTCCTCCCCTCTCTGCCACGGAAACAGCACAAGCCCTGGCCTGGGCCACCTCTCCCAGTCCTGCTGTGGCCCTTTCCTTACCTCCTGGCGCTTAATTTCTTTGGTGCTCAGGGACTCTTTCATGCTGACATCCATCATCTCAGACCAGAGTACACTGTTCCTTCTTTTAGGAGGAGTAGGAGCAGCAGATCTGCTACATGACTTCTGGGCACAGCCAGGAGACTTGCTGTCGCTGCGAAGGGCAAACGACTGGAGGGATTAAAGACAAAAAACATTAAAAAATCAAATACATGGAGCCAACATTTCCAAAGCATTAGAGTATTAACCATACCCCTCCCAATCCCTCATCCTCTGTTGTGCAGGGCAGGAAAACACACCCAGACACTTTTCCTCAGATAAAGGAACACTTTAATCAAGCTGCTGAGAAAGCCCAGAGAGTGGCAAGTGTTGCCACGTGCCTCTCCCTGCCCTGATCCAGCAGCTGTGCCTGGGAGGAGGGGGGGAGAGGAAAACCTTGGGTCTACGTCCAAGGTATGAGGAAGTCAATAAACTAAGATCATAATTCTACCTAGAATGGGTCTAATCAGGAGCCACTTGAACTTTGCCCTCCTGATTTGCAGCGCTCCTAAAACCCAGAGGCAGAGGAGCTGTTATCTGCACGCGTGGGGCCAGTGACCTCAGACAACACTCCTCCACTGCTGCTGAAGCACTGCCCAGCAGCAGGGCCCGTTCAGCCTGGAGCACGTGCTCCAACACATGTACCTCAAGTACTGGAACAGTTTGTCAACTCATTCTCCCTATCTGAATCGGTTTATTGGTTTGACTGCTTAAACACTCCATAACATGTTTATCCAGCAAGCTGCTCCTGAGGTCTTCCTCACCCCCACGTCCCTGGCAAGCTTTCTGCCCTCGCACCAGTCGTACGGTCGGCTTCCCAGAGGTGCTGGAGGTGCCAGTGCCCACAGCCAGCACCTGCCCCTCGTGCCCAGGCTGCTGGGGCTGGAGGCTGTGCCCTCTTACCTGTATGGTCTGCCCGAAGCGCCGCACCGCCCCATTCCTGACGGGAGAGATCAAGCTGGCCAGAGAGGTGACCCGGGACAGGGGCCGAACCCGCTTATTGCTCGGCTCCTGGAAAGAAAGAGGAGAACAGATTGTACTGGCTGCGACTCCTGCTTCATCTCCCCAGCTGCCCAGGCTGCTTTAAAAAGCACGAACCCACTTAAGGAGTGGGAAACGGTTAGCAAGCAACCATTCATCTTAAAAGGAAAGCAGGGGCTGTAAATATTTGGCTGAACTTTAAGGCTGCAATTAAACTGCAGAGGCGAGAGGACACAGACATCAGTCAGAACCCAAACCAGGGCTCACACAGAAACCGACACGGTCTCAAGGCAAGTGACCGTCCTCTAAAGATGGAGCTGTGATCTGCTGCTCCATTTTATGGTGTTTTCCTTTGCAGAAAGGATGTGTTTTTCCATTTTAATCTTCTTCTGGAGACAAAAGCACCGGTCGGAGCCCGGGATGGCCTCATCAGCTGTTGTAACAAACAGCAAACGACCACATGCTGAACATTCCTGCGAGGGATGCGCACACACCGAGTGGATGAGGTTTAAACCCTTCAGTTGACAAAGCTCCCTCCCCCGCCCCCTGCTGAGGCATCATCATTTTTCTTACACGTTGTTTAGATTTGCAAGATTGAGCTTCTGCTTTTCTACACCACTAATCCCTGCCGGGAGCCCAGAGCGTTTGCAATCCTGGCCCGACTCAAACGCTGCCAAGAAAGAGGGAACGCCCCACGGAAACCTCCTGCTGCTCAAGCTCAGGTCTGTTTTTAAACTCATGCTGGCAACCCTACGACTTTTCCACCAAAAATCTTGGGCTGGAAGGACTGTACAGGAAAGGTGTGTGCACTGGGACTCGGAGCTTGGGCCCTGGACAGAGGCTGGCTGAGGTGCCCTGGTGCTCCTCAACGTCTGGCAGACAGTTAGATGTGACTCATCACAAGCAAGTTTCGTAGCATGGAGTTCAGATGAAGCAGCCTCTGAGTTCATCTCAGTAGAAGTGTTACCAAAGCTTTATTAGGTATTTCTGGCTAATTACAGTTGAGTCTCTCTCTCCTTTTAGGTTTCAAAAGGCTAAAAGGTGAAGACAAGCTCTCTGCTATCTCCATTTCCAGGCTGAGGTTGCACGACGTGGTGCCCCAACCCTTTGCTTCTGCGTAGCAGAAGTGACAAAAAGCTGAGAACAAAAAAGGGGGCACAGGAACACACCGAGCTGCTCTGCAGTCATGAGACTGAGGACTCATAAAAGCTCCCTGTGCAAGATCCCATTTCAGCAACATGACCCGAGGAGTGGCCCGCCTTGTCTGCCTGCACGGGGTGTGAAGCAACAGAGGAGGTGAGCTCACCCTGAACTCAGCCTTCAGAGTTGCAGTGGGGAGGGGGGGAACATGAAAAGGAACAATTTATGAGTGCTACAGAACAGAAAGACCTCTTGGCACGGCACAAAGTGTCTTCAGAGCTGTGCTTGAAATGTTTGGGTAAGACTCTGAAGGAGGAGGGTGCTATAGAAATGGGGGAAGGTCCACAAGAACGTCCTCCAGCTCGGGACCCTGGCCCTTGGCTGGGTTTGGGTCCAGCACTGGAGCGCCGTGGTTGTTTCATTCCTCTGCCAACCAAGACAGAGCCCGTCGGGACGAGGATTATGCAGAAGTCTGGAAAGTTAGGCCAGGCTCAAAATGAAGACAAGGAAACTTTAATTAATCACAGATGTTTGCGAGTGGAGGAAAAGGGTGATTTGAGTCTAGAAAACCATAGATCAGTGTACTAGAATAAAGGGCCACGAGCCAAGAGGAGCTTAAGGAACTGGAGGAATGTAAGCAGCAAACCTACAGACATAAGCCACACGCAGCTCTGTCGAGGCCAGTGATATAAATAGCAGGGAGAAGGAGAAGGCGACGCTCAGAATTAAGAGCAGAAGCCTCAGTGCTTTAGGACACTTGCACAGCCCTCCACAGCTCGGGGTTCAGGGGTCAGCCCCGGGGCCTCTCCCGAGGGGAGATGCGGGGCGGTACCTGCGCCGGGCTGGAGCGACACATGTGTGTGCAGAAGGCATTTCTGCCTCGCTGGCTGGGACAGGAGGCACCAAGGGGCTCCCTGGGCTTCCAAACTGCTGCTTTTTGGAGCAGGAGACCCGTCCTGAGGCGTGCAGAGGCAGGCTCCAAGTGGAGGGTGCTGCTCTGCGGAGCAAGAGGGAGCACGGCTGCCTCCTCTGCTCCAAGGAGGGAGGAGTTCCACACAGAGTGGCCCGACCAGAGCGTTTTATGTACATGCCCTGTGCTCCCTGGGGTGCTCAGCCAACACAAAAACTTCTGCACGCTCTAAATTCAGCTTAGCAAAAAGCCAGTTCCCCTCTCTGCAAGAGAAACGAATCCCACTCGCCGTCCCGGGAGTGCGCCCAGACATAAACGGCTCGACTGCCAAAAAAAAAGGCATCTGTTTCTTCTTCTTCTCCTTCCAGTGAAATCATTTGATCCAAGGCAGGGAGGGGGGAAAAAAAACCCAATTCTCCTTTGAGACCTCACCTTCTCTGAGATCTGTGTTTCGGCGTGGGGTCAGGCACTCCCCTGACGGTGGAACTCGGCCGGCGTAAGCTGAGACTCGAGGCAGTTCATACGAGGGGCTAACTTTGGCTCAGGACTTGGCTGGGGTTTTTTTAGCCCTGTACTTGCAAACAATGCTCAGCCTGTCTCCGTGCTGTATGACTTACAGGAGCCCAGATTAGAATGAAGTCTGCAAAGTTTCTGTACCGAGCTAGCGGGGTCAGGCACTACGGCAATGACAGAGGATTAAAACCTTGACGAGTCCAACAGCACTTCTGCTTCCATTCAGGTTTTTATTTTCCCCAGGAGGACTCTACTAGAAGTGAATATATAGTATAAACATACACACAAAGACTATATTTGTGCCTCGGTGTCTCAGCTGCCAATTTCTTCCAAGTGTTTGTAAGTACAGGTTAACTCTTCACACTGAAAAGATTGCACCTTGCTGCTCAGAAGGAAACCAGGCTCTGCTTTTCAGCAACGAGTATTTTTCTCTAGCAGCACGCACGCCTACAACCTTTCCCCCTGTGCTAGGTAATAATTAGTGGTCTTTACAAGGATCATTTACTAGAGAGCAATGTCCTGTGTGCCAGTCCCAGACCAAGGCACACAAACATGGTGACAAATCTATAAACCACGCACAGCGAAACCCTTCCTATTAAGCCAAGTAAGCAAAAAGGGATTTTAGTCACCAGCTTGAGTAATTCCCACCCGAAATCACCACCTGACTCTCTTAATTCTAAGATTCACGTGCAAGGAGCTGGCTGAACCTCGAGCTCTGTTCTGTCTGCAGCCAAAGGGAGCGCGGGGCTCTGGTTTGACACGTCGGGATGGAGAGGACAACCCTCACCTTTCCCAAATTCAACAAGCTGCTGGTGAGCAGGGGCAGATGTGGCCTCACACTCTGCTGATAACTGCAGCGGCTCCTGATAGCAGCACAGTGCCTGGCACCGACCGGAGGGGTGTTAGCTCAGGAGTCACTGCTCAAACCCAGACCCAAGGTTTAACTTCAGACACCCCGTGTGCTGGTTAAACCCTACAGAAAACACACATTTTAAGAATTAGAAGTGATTTACTCTCTTTTAAGAGATCTGGTTCATGTTATTTCTCTCCCAACATCTGGTTTCCCTTTTGCACAATGCGATTGCCCAAGTTTGGCTGTTTGAAAGCCAGGATTTTAAGAGGCTGGCGACTCAGGCTCGGAGCCCTCAAGCCCCAGAGCTGTCTGGAGCCGCCGCCTTAGTTTTTTTTTTCCCTTTCTTTCCCTTTCAACCTCATCTCACCGCTAATCTCGGCAATAAAACCCTGCCCAGGGCAGCCGGTCCCTACCTGGCTGCTGAACTTTTGCCTTCTGTGGCAGCAGGAGGGACGGGGG